AATAAAATGTTAAAAAAAAAAAAGAGAGTTAAGTTGGGGGGAGGCTGTGGAGATGAGCTGATACCAAGGGCTCAAGTAGAAAGAAAACATTTAGAAAATGATGATGGCAACATATGTTTAAATGTGCTGGAAACAATGGACGGATGGACGGATTGTGATAAGAGCTGTAAGAGCCCCCAATAAAATGATTTTTTTTTAAAGTTCTTGAGAACCTACAGGGCAGTTTTGCCCTGTCCCATAAGGTCCCTATGAGTTGGAATTGACCCAGTGGCAGTGATTTGGTTTTGAGTTTAGTTGTTAATTTGGTCTCAGTACTTCAGAGAGCAGAAGAGGCCCGTGGCAAACTGCTTCTCACTAGTGAAGCTAGACTGCTGTTCGTTTTCTCAGAAGACTTCAGGGGGTACTTTTGATTTGATGATCGCAGGGCACTAGTTTCAGGGGTTCATCCAGCCAGTTTTAGGCTTCTTTTAACCAGTAGATCCATACCCCTCCTTTTTTCTTGGCAATTTATTTGCTGGAGTAACTCAGTTCTTTCCCTTAGCGTCCCAGGTTGGCTCTTTTGCTCACTGCTGCCCCACTGGCGGCTTGTAACAGCACGTTGCCACCACAGTGGAGGGCTTCCGGGCCAGGCTATGAGAGCCCAGGTGGTGTAGCGGTTACACATTGGGCTGCGAGCCACAAGGTTTGCAGTTGAAACCCACCAGCCGGTCCACAGTAGAAAGAAGAGGCTTTCTACTCCCGTACGAGTTACAGTCTCAGAAGCCCACAGGCAGTTCTTACTCATCTTGTAGGGTCGCTATGGGTCAGCTTCCACTTGAAGGCAGTGAGTTTGCTGTTCGGGGCTTCTGCCAAGTGATGGCCAAACTGAGGGCCGAGGCCACGGAGAGGCAGGCAGGTCATGAGAGCAGCAGCTCCGTGCGGGGATGTGGCTCGGCGTGAGGGCCTCGGATGGACAGGCGGGGCCCAGCCATCATCATGGGCTCTGAGGGTGGAGCCTAGCAGAGCCCGGGAGGACTCGAAGGATGTCTGCCAGGCTCCACCTCCTGTGATGACCTGTGGAGACTGGACGGAGGAGCGGGCACCGCTCCGTGCTGCCACCTGGCGACCCCGGCAGACAGTGGAACTGCACCTCAGCGGAAGCACCGCGGGAGCTCCTTCTGCAGCGCTGAGGCTTTTGGTTAGCAGCCAAGCACCATCAGGGCGCCTTCGTAGATGCGGAAGGCTTCATCCTCATCCCTGGGCAGCCTTTTAAGGCTGTTCCTTTATCGTCTCTACTTACTGGGGAGACTGAGCCTTAGGGGATTTGGGGGCATGTTCAAGATCCACCCACGCAGTACGGGTACAGCTAGGGTCAGATCAAGGCCTTGCCCACAGTGGGGCATCCCCACGATGCGGGGGAGGCAGGGCTGCGGCTCAGCCAGCACATCCTGGTGTAGTCATTTGGTAAAGGGCATCTGACCTGGCCCAGGGGAGTCCCAGCTGGCCCCCCAACTGAAGGGCCAGCCTGGTGCTTGGCACATCTCCAGCCAGCATTCCTGGAGCCAGTGCCCAATGGCAGCCTGACCCCCGAGCTGTGCCCTACCAAGGAGCCCTCCAGTGGCCACTTGAACTGCAGCCCGGGCTATTCCGGCGAGCGAGGCCCCAGGGGTGTCAGAATAGAACCACAGTGGCCGTCCTGCAGAAGACTGCCGGGCCTTTCTGCTGAGGCACCACCGGGTGGATTCAAACTGGCAACCTTTCTGTATCTAGTCGGATCCAGTTCCCTGCGACTTCATGTGTACAGAGTAGAACTCGGAGGGTTTTGATAGCATAGAATGCCAATGGGCTTTCTGAGGGTTTTATAGGGACCATGTACAGAGCCACACACCCAGAAGAAAAGAGAAACCCATCCATCTGTATATTCTATATCTGGAGTTCCAGTTTGAACCTTTTTTTTTTAGATCATTTTATTGGGGTCTCTTAACAGCTCTTATAACAGTCCATACATCAATTGTATCAAGCATGTTTGTACATAGGTTGCCATCATCATTTTCTAAACATTTACTTTCTATTTGAGCCCTTGGTATCAGCTCCTCTTTTTTCCCTCCCTCCCTCCCTCCCCTCTCACCCTCGTGACCCCTTGATACATTGTAAATTGTTATTATTTTCATATCTTAACACCGACCGACCGCCAGTTTGAACCTTTTGGGATTTGATTGCCACGGCCTCTCTTCTGAGGCACCTCTCAGTGGTGTGAACCACTGCCATCCAGACTCAGAGCAGCCCCGTCCTGTCGGACAGGGTAGAACTGTTTCTGTGGGTTTCCAAGACCGTAGCTGTTGATGAGTCGAAAGCCCCATCTTTCTCCCTCAGAGCAGCTGGTGGTTTTGAACTGGCGACCTTGCAGATCAGGGCCCAACGCGCCACCACCAGTCCTGAGGATGAACTGTCCCTTCCCAGGACCGCACGTTCTGACTCTCGCCTTTGCCTGCAGGAGACCTACCTGATGAAGCACATGTCCAAACACACGGTGGTGGAGCACCTGGTGAGCCACCACTCGCCCCAGAGGACGGAGTCCCCCGGCATCCCGGTGCGAATCTCCCTCATCTGAGCCCACCGGCGCCGCCCCACCCTCCTGCCCTCCCGGCCAACCGGCAGGCGCAGACCCAGGCAGCACCAGGCCCCAGCTCCCTCTGGGGGCCTCCCGGAACAGCCTCGCTCTCACCACCTCCCCGACCTTCCAGGAGGCCTGGGCCACAGCAGCCCCACTCGGCCCAGCTCCGGGCAGCCTGGCCGACCCGCAGATTCTGGACAGTTGTGGTGGCATCCAAAGACGATCTCCGAGCACTTTGAATCTCTGTTGAGTTTTCTTTTTGTTCCCCACCCTTCACTTTCTTCACTTTTTTTTTTTTAAGTTTGTTTTGCAAGTGACAGGAAAAAAAAAAAGATATTTATTGGCCAAGACATTGGTGCTGCTAAGACCGAGAAATTAAAAGAATCGGACAAATAGACACAGAGAACCAGAGGGCAGCGTGGGACCTTCTCTTGCCACAGCCTCAAGTCTTGAGGGAAGGCTCAGGCCAGGTTTCTGGACTGCATAGGGGACCCCCAGGTGGGAAGGGGCAGGAGGTAGCTGGAGTGAGGGTCTCCGCCCGAGTGCCCAGCTCAGCCCTCTCCAGCGGTGCCCTGGGTATCAGTGAGCAGAGGGACGAGGCCGCCACCAGGTCTGCCCAGGCTTCAGGAGGTGGAAACCAGAGAGGGGACTGGCGACCCGCAGGACCAAAGGGCGCAGCGCTGGGCTTGGCTGGGCGGCAGGCCCAGGGAAGTGGCGTGAGGGTGGGCTGGGTAAGGCCTGGCCCCCCTGCTGCCTCGAAGACCACCCCAGTCTACCTCGGTGCTGGCCAGGAAACCTATTGGCTACCTCTCCTGCCATCCCGGACTGTGGGCAGGGGTCAAGAGGGGTGTGGGCCTGGGGCAGTAACCCCTGTCCAGAATTTCCTCCTGATGGGGGGTAGGGGGCAGCCTTCCCTGGCCTGGAGGGACCTCTCCAGCCCAGACCCTTGGTCCCTCAGCAGGGATGGGATCCTGGGGAGGAGGGTCCCAGGAGCAGACCCTGCTCCCCTCCCCCACAGACACACCCCAATCTGAAAGCCATGCGTGTCCGTGTATATAGGAACCATGTACAGAGCCCGGAGAAGTCCCCCCTCCCACACCCACACACACACCCAGGAAAAAAAAAAAAAGAAGAAAGAAAGCTAGACAGAAACTCATCTATATATTCTGTATCTGGAGTTCCGTTTTGAATATTAGCTGTGTTATTTTTATACACTTTTTAAGCCTTAACTCGCCATTGATTTACCAGTCTAACGTTTCCTGGGGTTTCTTCTCCCCTGGGGTGCTCTGCCCCCACCCCACCCCCTTTGTTTGACTTGCGTCGTCTGATACTCAGTATTGTAGCTTTTCGTCCGCATGTTACTACCCTGTAAATACGCTGTTATACATACTGTTAACACCCCTTTGCTTTTTTCTATGGGACCTCCAGGCCACCATATCTAGAACTAGTGACCTTATTAAAGAAGAGAAAACAGTCGGTTGGCTTCTCAGTCTGCATCTTGGTGGCAGGGAGGGGAGGTGCCCCTCAGACAAGTCAGGAACAAAGTTGGCATCATATTTTGAAGAGGGGGTGGGGAGCCAAACAAAAAAACTTAAATGGGAGAAAACACTATAAAGGGGCAAGAAACCAAGGAATTACGAACCCTCTGCTCTTTGTATTTCTCTGTTGTGAATAAACTGTACCTGCACCCAGGTGGCAGTGGTGTGTGGCGTGCTCTGTGCGAGGGCGGGGCTGGGGGGCACCTTTCCACTGCTCCTCTCCCCTCCCCCGCCCCTCAGACTCAGAAGGAGAAAGAAATAGCCCCCTGTGTGGACCTGGTGCTGAGCTAAGCCCGGTGTATTTGGTGTATAAGACCTCTGGAAAGTTCGTAGCTAACCAAAGAGGTGATTTTATTGCCAGGAATCGTACCGTGATTAAGTGGTGGAGGCATATTTCACCCTAGGCCACCTGGTTCTAAACTTTAGATCATTGTGGTAGGCTGGGTCTTCAAGACCAGGTGTATAGAGTTTGTATCAAGAAAAATGACTCACTCACTTGTAGGAACAGTTAAGGCCAGTTCAAGTTCATGGGTCAGATGTTAAGCAGAAGGCTTCTGATCCATGAAGCGGGAAGACCATGGCTAGTGGATGGGAAGTCAAATAAATCAAAGGTCGGCAGTCCATAGATGACTCCTGGGATTGGCCAGTAGTATGGCAGCAGGTTGGCGGATTAGATGCAGGGTGAAGGCCCAGCAGACGTGACAAGCTTTCACACAGTCTGTTTAAGAAGGAGCAGCACATACCCCCTAGGAATCTTTCAATTGCTTCAAGGCTCTGACCCGATGTATGAGGCAGCACTCCACCACACTGCTGGCTGCTTGTAGTTGACGTTAGACCCTATCATGGAGTTGAATAGATCACCTGTGTTAGATCACAGGTGGATGACTGCCAAACTCCTGAGACCCCGGACCCAGCCAACCTATCAGACATCCTGGGTTCCTTCAGTTTGGTTTTCTTCCTTGCTCCCAGAAGGCCAGCCACATCCAGTTACCTGTACTCCCTTTGGGGGTCTATCTGGCATGCCCTGAATTGGAGAAGAGATTCCAGTAATTGGGACCCCC